GAAAATGTGCTTGGAAAAAAATATGATCAGAATATCAACTTGCATAATAATTATGCATGCACTGTATTTTTCCTCTTCTGCTGTCGAGGTAATGCAAGAAATGTTGTGATTGGTTGTCAAGGCAGCCAATCAGAATTTAGCAGCCTCGGTCTCTGATTGGCTGGAATTATGGCATATTGTAACGCTGGGTTGTGTTGAGCACGCGAGCTGTTGGTATTTAGCGAGCACTGAGGGGGGCATCAGGTGAGCAAGCTAGTGAAACGTTGCACGCGCAAAAGAGAAGGTCTGCACACATCCAAAAACGTATTTTAAATGCAAAATTGATTTCCGTGCGCTTGAAAGACTTTTTTCTTTGCGAAACGAACATTTTCTCCACAAAACTCAGATCGCGCACGTGCAAAATGCACTTTTGTGCGCTCAAAATATGATCTTTCGCGCGCAGAATTGTGGCAGAAATGTAAGCCCATATGCCTGGGGCCATGGACAAGATTGTCACTGAATGAACGAAAACTAAAAGAAAATACATTTTTGTGACAACCAACTGAAATAAGATAAAAAATGTCCACAAATTTAGTTTTTGATATATGGTACATTATAAAACCTAAAACCTTTATGACCTGCCTGTATTAAAGATGAAAACGCCTTTAGAAATCAATTATACTTAATGCTTTACGCTTTCTAATCTTAATTTAACATCAATAATTAACATTAAACATTTTTTAATTATACCAGTTAGCTCATTATCTTTGGAAACCCTAAATATTAAAACTAAAATAAAATCTAAAGAAAACTAAAACAACAAAACAAACAAACCTAAAATGAAAAACTAACAATAACTAAACTAAATTGAGAAGACAAATTAAAATAAAAATACAATCAAAAAAAAGAAAAGAAAATATCACCAAAGAGACTTTGACCCGGTGTCGTTATTGTTAATAAAAAAAATGTAATTAAAACGTAATGAAAAACTGTCCAAAACCAAAATAAAAATGTCCAAACATGAATTTGTAGTTTTGGAAATATGGTTTATCTCACCTGTATTAAACATGAAAATGTCTATAGATAAATATTTTTAAATAAATCTTTTAAATCTAAAATAAAAACCTAAAATAACAACTAAATAAATTGGAATTAGAAAATAAACTAAAACTACAACTACAGAATAAAAACTAAACTCAATTGGAAAAGACACTTTAGAACTGAAATAAAATGAAAAATAAACATGAAAAAAAAATAGAAATATATAATAGAACTATTATAACCCTGCTTTGACCTCAGTTCCAATAATGGCACAAGACAACAAAGATACATACTTTTAATTTTTCCTTGTTTAGATTTCCTGGCATTGTGAACGGCTTGCTTCCTTTGGGCCTCAGTAATCTCTATCCCTGAAAAGCAATGAAAATAATGAACTTTATTATTTGAATTCATGGCATGAACATTTCATACCAGAAGAGAACACATATTCCTTCAGCTGTGAGACTCACCCATCTCTTGGTCTTCCTGTACTCGTCTGCGCTCTCGAGCAAACGCTTGCAGCCATCGCTGCTTGTCCTGGCTCTTTTTGCAGCACAGCACACACAGCACATTCAGGTTCTCTGCATGCCGTAGGAGAAACGCGTTCTTCAGGAGGCCCAGCTCAGCGTGCCGTCCATCAGGCAGGTCGATTGGCTCGAGTAGGTCAGTGTCCATACGGCCACGGTAGTGTAGCAGGTCTCGCCGCAGGACGTCTTTCTTACAGAACACCAGCTGGTGGTCAAACAGGAAGTAGCTGCGTTGCTGCGTCTTACCGGGCCGCACTATCCGCGTTAACTCGCCGGAGTGGATGAGCTCGGAGCTTCGCGTTAACACATCTTCACCCTAAAGGAAATTTTTTTTTTCCATCATTTTTGCAAGATTTGAAACCTGAAATTGTTGTTCTGTAGTACACAAAGCCTCATCTAGCCCTGTGAATGACCCAGCGCATTAACAAATAAGTAATCTAATAAAGAGATCAACATGGTATCCAATTAATATCTTATTGCATTAGACATGCACACGTCTGCGAATTAATCAAATTTCTTGATACGAAAACTTCAGAGAGGCTGTGGCTGCTTCCTGAAATTTTCTGAAAAAATGTTTAATGCTGAAAACAGTGGAAATATGTGGAAATATTACTGACCGCCCAGTGCAGGATGGCCACCTGCCAGTGAGCAATGGTGTCGATGCTCTCAAGTCGTCTTTTCCTTTCATTTATCAGACTTGCCACATTCTTCATTGCTTTATGTGCAGCACACACCCCTGCGTAGTCACTGAGGAGAAAAACATTACTTTATTATGATCCTTTTGATAACAAAAAAATAAATAAATATGTACAACAAGTTTGGGGTGAGTACATATTTTTTTTGAAAGGATTTAATACTTTTAGGGTCCGTTCACAAAGAACGTGTCTTTGCATCAAAAAACGCGAGGCACAGTGCTCAGTAATGGTTTTTTTAAAAAGCACAGCTCAGAATGCCTCCTACACTATGTTGCAGTCAAATAAAACAGTTGCCATGCCAACTTGCTACTGTAAACAAAAGCTGGCAACGCTTGCCCCGCCTCTGGGGTCTTCTGATTGGTCTAATGTTTTAGAACTGACATTGATAAGCGGCGATATGTGTAAAAGTTGAAATTCTTTGAACTTTTCTTCTTTTAACGCTCAAGTGTGAGACACTGCAAAAGAAGCGAGACACGAGCTCAATGGTCATACATATCCGTCTAGCACAGGGGAGGGCAAACTTGGCCCTTCCAGGTCACTTTCCTTCAGAGTTTAGCTCCAACTCTAATCAAACACACCTGAACCAGCTAATCATTGTCTTCAAGACTACTAGAAAGCTACAGGCAGGTGAGTTTTATCAGGGTTGGATCAAATCTCTGCAGGAAAGTGGCCTGGAAGGGCCAAGTTTGCCCATCACTGGTCTAGCGCATGTTTACGTAGAAAAACAAAGGAAAAGTAGCGCACTGGAGTGAAAAAACACGTCCTGTGTGAACGGCCCCTTATTTAGCAAGGACACAATAATCAAAAGTGACAATAAAGGAAACAAATGCTGTTCTTTTGAACTTTCTATTCAGTAAAGAATCATTAAAAATATTACAGTTTCAACAAAAAAATATTAAGCAGCACAGCTGTTTTAAACATTGATAATAAGAAATGTTTCTTGAGCACCAGATCATCATATTAGAATGATCTCTGAAGGATCATGTGACACTGTGAGACTGGAGTAATGATGCTGAAAATTCAGCTTTGCCATCACAGGAATAAATTACTAATATATATACTAATAAATATAAATATACTAATATACACTAAAATATTACTGTTTTTTTTTATTATCAATATTACTTTTTTATTTAAATCAAATAAATGCAGCTTTAGTGAGCATAAGAGATATAGGAGAGAAAAAAATTCTATCAACCCCAAACTAGTGTAATGTATATAAGAGAATGAGCTACCTGTGGTCTTTGGGTGTGTATTTCAAAAGCTCTCCCAGCTGAAGAGGGTATTTACAAATCTTCTGTACAGGTGTGAGTAGGAAGCCAGCAATGGAGATATCGATCATCTGCTGTAAGAGACGACAGGCTTCGAAGAAGTGTTTATATCTGCTTTGTTTCATCAATCGCTGCAATTCAGTGCATGCCACCGGATGTGTGTTACAGTATTCTGAATATATGGAGAAACCGTCCTCCTGAGAGGGAGAAAAAGATATAAAGGAATATGAGCAATTTGTGAGGAAAACTTTCATTCCAACGGTTCTTGTGCGTGTGAAGGTACCTGTTGAAGGAAGCAGGAGCCAATCTCACTGAGATGAGGGTTTTCAGTGTTGTATTTCTTTTCTAGGTCCTTGAGAAACGTTCTCTGGAACCTATAGATGTCCTCAATGTTGCTGAAGATTGTTTTTAGCTGTGCATCAGTAAACATGCCAGGGTGCTTTCTACACTGACGGATATATCCCTACAACAACAAATAATTTTGGATTGAAACAACTAATTTAACACAGTTTCATTTAGACATTTTTGCATTCCTTTGGAAAGTTTTCCTTCACTGAAAAATATTTTTATGCACTTGACCAGCAGAGGTCATCAATGAGACTATTGGATAAACACTTCTGACTGATAAATCTGACTGATAAACCGTAATAAATTTGAGCTAAGAAATATTTACCACCTCTTTCTTAACTCATTTTTTGATAAGATTTCCAAAGGTTAAGATGCTTTTCACACAAACTTGTAAAATACAACTATTTATTTCCATTGTACTTAACTTGTGAAAAAATTATTCAAAGTGGTGAAGTCCTGTGACCACACGTTAGCATACTGCTGTTTTGATATTCACCACTGCATGAATATCTAAAACAGCATTTAGTTTCAAATACCTAAAATAATGACAATAATCATCATCATCACTATCATACTACTCAGCACAGAGTATATAAACTACCATTCAAAAGTTTTTGAGAGAAGTCTATGCTCGGCAAGACTGCATTTGATCAATATACAGTAAAAACAGTAATATTGTGAAATAATATAAAAATTTAAAATACATTTTTTTAATCTATATTTAAAATGTAATTTATTCCTGTGATGACAGCTGAATTTTCAGCATCATTACTCCAGTCTTCAGTGTCACATGATCCTTCAGAAATCATTCTAATATGCTGATTTGCTGCTCAAGAAACACTTCTTATTATTATCAATTTTGAAAACAGTTGTGCTGTTTAATATTTTTGTGGAAAGAATGATGCATTATTTTCTCTGATGAATAGAAAGTTCAAAAATCACAACATGTATTTGCAATAGAAACCTTTTGTAACTTAAAAATTAAAATCTGACCCAAACTTTTGAACAGTTGTGTGCAGTGTAGTATACTAGTATTCCTGTATGCCACTAGGGTGAACTACTCTGAGCACTACAACTATTTTCTGATAGATAATATTGTTATCTTGAAAGAAGGCAAATGTGTTTCAATTTTGATCTCATATTTAAAATGACAGGCATAGGAGATTGATTACCACTCAGGATAAATTGAAGATAAGGGTTCCTTTATGATAGATAACATACACAGACCACAAAACAAACCGATTAAACTAAAGCAGAAGGTAAACATGAAACAGCTGGGATGGAGGCTCACCTCACAGATATCTTTGAGATGTTTGATGTAAACGCGCTCTGTGTCCATGATCTCTTTGACCACATTGGCTCTCATCTGCTGTCTGTGCTGCGAGTTTTGTTTATGTGCATCTGATGGGACGGATTCCTCTGCATCCGGTGCGATTTCCACACCATCACTGCTGGAATCCTCCTGATTCACCCGAACCTTGACAACAACATATCATTATGATTAATTCCAGAGGATCAAACTGAGGGGAACCATGATTAGGCACAATTTTAAGACAACAATCAATTGTGATTGAGACAACTGGTTAATCCACTTCTACAGGAAGTCTTGATCAAATCACCTAAAGGCTCTTTGTGTCCGACTGACTCATCTTGTTGGATCTTAAAAGAGCCATAGATTGACAATGAGATGCATTAATCTATAGCACAGAACTATTAAAGGGGTCATATGATGCGATTTCAAGTTTTCCTTTCTGTTTGTAGTGTTACAAGCTGATTGTGCATAGATAAGATCCCTGAAGTTGCAAAGACTAAAGTCACAAACCCAAAGAGATATTCTTTATCAAATGTGGGAATAAATGTGCCCAAATGTGCACGCAAAGAAAGAAGGCGTGGTTTCAGTAACCGCAGTTAGTGTTTAGTGTTCATGTCAGGGAGACGCTGTGTGTTTCTAGGCGAAAGCAAAAGCACTTTATTTGGCCTTCCGAAAGTAGATGCATTTAGGAATCTTTAAGATCACTTACAACAGAACAGCAATGCATTTTATGGACGACCGTTTCGTGAACCTAGGAGAGGAGGTAATTCTGACTTTGCTATGACAATCTGGCGCTTCTGAATCAGCTACTGTTTTGTTATTAGTTTAAGTATTTGCTATTGACTGTTCAAATGCGGAGTTTTGCGCATCGTGTGTG